CCGACGATCTCCACCGAGTGAATGTCGTCCAGCTGCAACTTTGACTCGGCAAGCAGGCGCTTGAACGTCTGCTCGACGCGCTGCAAAACTGGGGCGCACAACTCCTCCATCTGTGAGCGCTGCATGGACGACGAGACGTCGATGTCGTCCAGGAAACATTCGATGTTCAGTGGCAGCTTGGTGCTGTTGGCGGACATCTGCTTCTTCAGCTTCTCGATTTCGGTGAGCAGGCGCAGATTGGCACGGGCATTGGTCTTGGCGTTGATCTTGTACCGCTCCTGGAACTCCTTGGCGAAGTAATCGCCCAGAGCCAGGTCAATGTCGCGTCCACCGATCTGGTCCCAGGTGCTGGCCAACATCTTCAGCTTGCCCTTGGTGAAGGCACAGGCACTGGCCTGCAGTGACGAGTGCCCAAAGTCCACAAAGATCACGTTGCGTGGCTTGTCCTCGAACAGGTCGTTCTTGTAGAAGCCGTACGCCAGAGCCGTGGCCGTCGTCTCGTTCATTAGCCGCAGGACATTAAGTCCGGCGATCTGGGCGGCGTCCAGAAGAGCCCGCCGCTCTGCGTTGGTAAAGAACACGGGACAGGCGATGACGCAGTCGTTCACCTGCGTCTGCATGGCGGCCGCCGAGGTCTCCTTCAGCTTGGTGAACAGCATCGCCGTCAGCTGCTCCGGCCCAAAATGCTGATCCTCCCCCAGGTAGTTCACCTTGATTCCGATGCTGCCGTCGCCGCGCGCCTCTACGCGCGCTGGAATGCTCTTGAGTTCGTGTTGTACATGGGGATCGTTGAATTTGCGACCGAGCAGGCGCTTGAATCCGCCAACTGTGTTTTTCATGTTCGTCACCTGCTGGTTCTTGGCCGCCACGCCGATGATCCGCTTCTTGCCATCGAAGGCCACAAAGGAACTGCAAGAGGGCAGGGGGTGAAAAGTAGCGGTTAGTGGCTAGCTCTGCAGGTCATATAAGGCTAAGTTCTCTGGATTGAGTGCCCGAGTATTGGAAGTATATGTCTAGTTAGCAATCGAGTTTAAGTCAGTACAGTGGGAAATGGTCAAAACGAATATTAGACATGTTTTTGATAGCTAATTTAATAGAATAATATTAAAATAATTTTAAAAACTGCAAAATTTGCCCAAAATTATACTAAATTTAAATGGACAATAAATTACCATACTTGACTAAATTTTATTATTTTAAGATATTATAAAATAAAATAAAATAAAATTTGTAACCCTACTTAAAATTTTTGAAATCTAGACTCATTAAAAATTATTAACATATGCGGGCTTTACTGTAAAAATGTAATTTACCTTTTCGACTCAAAAACATTTTAAAATAAAAAATTAAATGCACTGATTTCGCAAGTAAACCAGTTTTATAAATGCAAACAGTGGTCAAATCAAGAATGTTTAGCATATGCGGGCTTCACTGTGTCTGCCCATGCGAGTGTGTGTTTGTTTTCTGTCTGTGTTTGCCGGCTTTGAATTTATTTTTGACTGCTTTGCACACGTTTTTCTTTCTTTTTGCCATGTCTTCTCTGGCGCTCTTTCTCCCTCTCTACCTCTCCCTCTCTCTCCGCAACCACAACAGCTGCTCTCACCTTTGATGCTGCCTTCTTGACCGCATGACGCATGCATCGCCAGGTCTTCCTTTATGTGTGAGTGTGCCAAAAAAGTAAATTCGGACAAGTACAGGAGAGTGGAAGTGCGGAGGATTGAATGGGATTGGAAATTGAAATATGGGGCCCACGCAGTCGACGGCATTTAAATCAAAGGCACCCCCATACATAGGCATGGGCAATAAATTGGAAAAGAGAGGCGGAATCAGTGGATGGAAAAATATGTGTGTGCCTCATTAAAATTGCAATTTGCAACACTTTTTATGGAAGTGCACTCGGCCAAATTTAGGCCTCCGCCAAGGCGCACAAAAAACAACAGTACATAATGCTCATATCTGGGAATACACGTATGTTTTTCGGAGCGTTACCCATAACAACCGTGGAATTTTCTAGGCGCGCTCTCTTACAAACACACAATCGCACGCACACATATGCGGGCATGACTTACAAATTCGACATAACCCCAAAAAGTGGCAAAAAGTCGAACGATTATGCAGACCAGACCGCCGAGCTTATCACTATAAACTGGGCCGTAATCCCGGACAATGGGATGGGGGGACGATGGGTACTTACGGCGTGGCCCGCAGACTGTAGTCATTGGCCAGCGTCTCGATGCCGCCGGACCTGGCTGCCGCCACATAGCAGCCCTCGTTGCCAAAATCGATGCCAATCACGGACATTTTCTATTTGCCTCCTATTCGTCTGGCCGCTTTTCCGATTGAAATGATTCAGTGCCGACACACTTTTGGGTGTTTCGCCGTTTCTTTCTGTGTTTGGGGGCGGAACAACGCGATCGCCGTTTTCTTTGTTTTCCAGCTACTGCAAAATATACAATTTTCAAAGAGGGAGACGGGGAATTAGATAAAATATATGTCAAACACACAGCCACGCACGTGTCGGCCTGCTATCTGCTCTTTTCGATTGACAAACAAGTCCAGAACGTTCGATTCGATATATGCTTTTCACATTCACATCAATTATGGATTCGCTTTTCGCCTGCGAATGGAAATTTCTAGCGTCCGGCCTTCGTCGCTCGCCCCTCTCGCTCGCACGCAAACACCGTGGGGGAAAAATGTGGGGAAAAGCGCGCACGCTTGTTTGGCTTTTCACGAGCTTGGGTTATTGGTGCTCAAGCTGATTAGTTACGCACGTTTTGGTTGATAATGAGCAATCACCTTCGGGTTCACGGTAAATCGGTAAATCCAAGCAATTTCAATTCGACACCGCACGTTTTTTTTCTAATTGTCCGCTACGCAGTATGACCACCGCAAGAAATCGCGATAATACCAAAGTAAATGTAAGTACTAAAGCTTCAATCGATAGAACACCAACTGGTTTTTAGATACGGGCACATTTTAAAATGACCGTTACTTTGGGTATTTAATTTTTATTTAAAAATAACATTACCACTTTTAAATTAAGAAAACAATTAAATAACCTTATTTGGTTATTATTATCGAAATTTTTAAACCTTTACAAACCATTTTCAAACAAATTAATTAAAGATTAAAGAAGAAAGAAATTTAAAATTAAATTTAATGCATCGACAAACAAATTTTTATTTTTTCGAGTATTTTTGCTGGACTTGGGTTAATAATTTTTCATTACATATTCCTAGATGTGCTGTATGAGTGATTCTTTGTGAAACGTATCGAGATTTTCTTCATGGTCTCAAAGCGATATCTAATTTTTATGACACTATCCCACCATTTAAAAAGGATTTTCAAAAAAGTTTCACAAAAAATCCATTTGACAGAAGCGAAGATATGGCGTTGCTATTTTTTTGTTTAATTCATTTATATTTTTAAATTACGCTGGATAAAAAATAAATACAAATACTCAAAAATTATTATTTTTGCCAAGCTTTCAGATGAAAATAACAACCATAATGGTTCCAATGCAAAATACGGTCCAAACTTTAAAAAAAATTTTTCATTCGCGGTTTTCTGCAAATCGGCATTTTTAATCTTTATAAAAAAATAGTATAATGTTCTATACATAATTCTTGTTGGCTGCTAAAAATTTCGTCATGGGACCTCCATTACTTTCTGCATAATTTATTAAAACATTAAAAAACAAAGCAGTCTTTCGTTGTTATACATTAAATTATATTAGACGAACAGTTTCGTTCTTCATGAATTCCGGGAGAACGACCGTTCCCATTTAGGTAAAACCAAAAGGAAAAATGCAGTTTTGTATAACAAATAAATCCCTACCAATTTCAACGTGGGACAATAACTTCTTGCTACTTATGTAGTTCTAAGGAAGAACAACACGTTAGCAACACCTTACATCCAAGCTAAGACCATTCCACGTTCTCAAAAGCACCATCATATTGCTCCAACACCTAATAGCAAACTCTTTTAAAAAGATAGTCATTCGCTGAAGACATTTAAATTTTCCCAATACACAAATCATTGTAAGGAGGCTTAAAACAACAGTGGAGCGCCGCCACAGGGGGAATCAAGGAGCGACATGAACCGAACGAGGTGCGTTATTTACCAGGAGCCTGGAATGGTCTTAGCTTGGATGTAATGTGTTCCTATATATTCGAGTGTTCTTCTTTAGAACTAAATAATTAGCAAGAAGTTATTGTCCCACGTTGAAATTGGTAGGGATTTATTTGTTATACAAAACTGCATTTTTCCTATTGGTTTTACCTAAATGGGAACGGTCGTTCTCCCGGAATTCATGAAGAACGAAACTGTTCGTCTAATATAATTTAATGTATAACAACGAAAGACTGCTTTGTTTTTTAATGTTTTATTAAATTATGCAGAAAGTAATGGAGGTCCCATGACGAAACTTTTAGGAGCCAACAAGAATTATGTATAGAACATTATACTATTTTTGTATAAAGATTAAAAATGCCGATTTGCAGAAAACCGCGAATGAAAATTTTTTTTTTAAGTTTGGACCGTATTTTTCATTGGAACCATTATGGTTGTTATTTTCATCTGAAAGCTTGGCAAAAATAATAATTTTTGAGTATTTGTATTTATTTTTTATCCCGCGTAATTTAAAATTATAAATGAATTAAACAAAAAAATAGCAACGCCATATCTTGGCTTCTGTCAAATGAATTTTTTTTTCAACTTTTTTAAAAATCCTTTTTAAATGGTGTGATAGTATCATAAAAATTAGATATCGTTTTGAGACCATGAAGAAAATCTCGATACGTTTCACAAAGAATCACTCGTATATAGAAGTTTCGACGCTCAGTTCACATCCTCTTCTCCGGCTGATAAGGTAGCGGTGACGCCCTACCGAAATTTGCAAATCCCGGATAGTCCGAGGTTCACTCCCCAGCGAGTGCAAGTGTGTTGAAATGCTGGAAACTCGAGTCCAGCAAAAATACTTGCTAAATCTAAATCACGCATTTAGTTTTAATCACTAGTAGATATTGTTACTTTTAATTTTTTAAAAGGTAGTTTTCCATTAATATGACGATACAGTAAATAAAAACACTTTGTATTTATGGTAATTTTGAAAATATGTCTGTCCCGTTAGAAAGCCTAGGAAAACTTCTTGGATCCCTGCGTCGGGAGTGGTCCCTCCACAGTCTCCTCTATTAGCAGCGGCGAGCTCCAGCGCATCAGGAAGTAGGCAGATCCGGACTTATCGTTTGTCCCGGACAGCCGATTACCACCGAACGGAGTCAATCCGTAGTTGCTGCCTGTACACCGCTCGTTCACGTAAAGATTGCTGGCCGACATGCGCAGCTGGTTGAGGCAGTGAAGGATCACCTCATCCCGGCTGGCGAAAATGGAGCCCGAGAGGGCGTATCTGGACTGGTTGGCGGCCAGCTTGAGTGCCTCCCCAAAGGAGTCGTCCGCATAGACGAACACCGGCAAAAAGGGTCCGCAGCAGGGCTCACTGAGCAGAGGATCCAGTGGATCCGTCACCCGGACAATTGTGGGCTGCACAAACCTACCTATGCTGTCGTCGCAGCCGCCTCCGCACAACTGTTCCACGTTCTTAGTTCGCTCCAGGAGCTTCTGCATTCGTCGAAATCCCTCTAAACTGACCATCGCCCCCATATCCGTTTCCGGCTGGACAGGATCGCCGATGTTCAGCTGCTCCGTGGCCTCGAGCAACTTTGCCCGGAGTCGCGGCCACATTGACGAGGGCACGTACATCCGGGACAGCGAGTTGGCGTACTGACCAGCGAATCCGAATGCCGCCTGCACGGTAGCCGAGACCACGGACTCCACCTTGGCACTGGCATGGACGAAGTGGAAGTTCTGGCCCGGACACTCGGCCACCAGGCGGGGAAAGCAGATGTATCGCTCCATCCGGTCGCTCACCAGCTTGTGGACATGCCTGTAGCCGGCCGCTCTGCCCTGGGTATTCAGACCGGCAAAGTGGATGGCATTCGTGATGGTGTCCAAGAAGAGGCGCTCGTTGGCCGGCACGAAATTGATCACTCCGCTGGGCAGACCCGCCTCCTGGAAGGCCCGATGGATGAGGAAGCTGGCTGGGGCCACCTCCAAAGTGGGATTCCACAGCACCGTGTTGCCCATAAGAGCTGGACAGAGGGCCAAACTGGTGGACAGGGCCACCGATTCGAAGGGCGCTACGGCGGCCACAAAGCCATCCATGGGCCGCAGGTGAAAGCTGGGAAAGACATTCATATCGCCCTGGATCTCGAAGCGCAGCTCGGACAGGTGTTCCAAGTAATCAGCATTGGCCCTCAGCGAACTGAGCAGTCGCCGTATGTCGCGCGTAGCATCATCGGCTGTTTTGCTGAGGGTCAGCATGAGGAACACCCGCAACCGCAACTCGTCCTCCTCGATAATGTCCGCCGCCCTGCGCCAAATGGCCAGGCGTTCAGCGATGGGGACCAGACTCCAAGTTCCCTGTGCCGATAGAGCCGACTTGATGGCCGCCTCGATTTGTTTGCGATTGGCGTAGTACACCTGGGCCAGGTTCGTCTTGAGGTGATGAGGACAAGAGACCTGCTGTTTATCCATGGTATAAACGGGGTCGTCGCCAATTATTGTGGGAACCTCCAAGGGCCTGCGTTGTATCTCCTGAATGGCATGACTGATCAACACTCTCTCATTCCTCTGCATCCTTGGAGCGTCCTCAGCTTCCATCTCCGGGTGCTTCTCTACCTGCTCATCCTGTAGCCCCTTTGTTTTCTTCTTGTCCACAGAGAGTCCCGCCTCGCCTCTGATGCCAGCCACTCCCAGGTGACGGCATCTGAAGGACCGACGAGTGGGGACCGCGAATCCCAGCTTGAGCATCGCTTGTAAAATTTAAATTTGAAGCTTTCAACAGGAATTTATTCTACATCTGCCAGTTTATATGCGTTTACTTAAGTGTAGAAAAATATATGTGTAAGTCTGTGTTTAAACAGTGCGTTTCGCAGATGTAAGACAGTTGTGGAAAAGCCAGTTTGTGTGCTGAACTTTAAGGGAGTCAAAATATAAGAGATTGCCAACTTTCCAGACATTTAGATTAGTCACAATTTCAGACATACATATGGTCTGGAAACGCACTGCATTTTCAAGGCGTAGCATAAAACAAATTGTAATTGTATCAATTTGAATTTGAATAAATCATAGGAGGTTACAAATGTGTATGTAAAAAAATGGGGACAATATAAATTGTAAGGTCTAATTATCACATAAATTTTGTTTCGAATGACAAAGATTAAAATATGAATAGCAAAGTAAAGATTAAGGACACAAGTTCACAATTATCTTACAGTGCGTAAACGCCTGCTTAATTCGTTGCCGCATTATTTAGTTTTGAAACCAAGTGCGCAAAACAAATTGTAATTAGGAATGGTTCAAATACATCAAAACATAGAATTAGTGACTAACAAAACTTAGGACTAGGTGGCATTCGTTTCCGAACTTCGATGCTGCTGCATTAGGAATAATTTTGAACACATGGAATTTACGTTGATGATGAGAAGATAAAACTCATCTGGATATGTGGTATCATGGGAGTAGTTGTTTTCTTGGTGCTATCGCTTGAGCATTTTCGTCAGATTTGTGTGAAGGTAACGCGTTTCTAAGGTCACTAAGGTGCTAAACATGCCGAGTCCATGTCCATCCAGCGGGGGAATGCTTCGGGGTTACGTCCTGGCCTTATATTCAAGTCTTGGATTGCAGGTTTCTAGTAAAGTACTATGCAGTCTTTGCCGGTTCTATCGTGATCGTCTCGTCTCTTCTACAACTGTGCCGCCAGCCCAGAGGCCGATATGTTGTCGCCAGCCCCGGCAGTTTTCCTGGCCTCGCGGCACACCAGCACCGGAGCCACGCAAATTTCGACTTCAAGGCGTTGTCGCTGGCGACCGTACTCGATATACTCCCGCCAACAGGGCACAGGACTGGCTGCGCCGATCCGCATCCGAGGAGCATCCGTCTGCGCCGAGGTGGCGAAACTGTCGTCCAGAACCTGAAGCACTGCCTCCGGATTGATCTGCAAAATAAAGTTTTGTTTCTTATTAGTGTTGAAATTATTTTACTAAAATATCATCATCACTAGACCTCGGGTTTTGCATATTTGCATATTTTTATAGGATAAAGATAGATCAATAGTTTAAAATTAATGGCACATTTTATTTTTTTTTGCACATTTGCATAAAATGCATATGCATAAAATATGCAAAATATAAAATATACTCAACTATTCAAGATGGACCATTTCATAGCCAACCTAAATAACCCGAAGAAAATTGTTTGTTCCTTTTCGTCATTTCTGAGATATCTAATTTTTTCCCAAATTTAAGGAAACCCTATTTATATTTCCAAAAAATAGTAAAAGGGCTGCATTAAAAATTTGAGCCTGCAGTTGTTTGCATATTTTGCATATATTTTGCATATTTTATGCATATCCGAATTGCATCCGAATTTATTACATTTGAAAAAAATGACACCTACCTATAAATTTTGTAAAAAATCGTACCAAAAATGGACAAATATGCAAAAACCAAGGTCTAATCATCACCATAGCACGTGATGTGACCTAGGGCACGATGACTATCTTGACTAGATAATAATTTATGTTTCATTCAAACATGCACTTAATATTTGGAAATATATGTAAGACTCACAAACTGCGACTTGCAGACATATCGATGAGCAGTGAGTGCCGCCTTGGCCGCCGCAGCACGTGTGTTCTTCCACTTGGAGCTCGTTGTGGTGAGGATAGCCTGATAGGCCAATGTATGCACGTGGATCCGTGAGATGCGACGCCGCCGGGGATCGCCTGCGCTTCGGTCCCCGTAGTCCTCGAGCAGGCTGATGAAGACCTGCCGCATCTGGTCGAGGGTGTGGGCAATGCGGGGATTCCAGTCGGTGGCCAAAGTAGTGCGTCCGTACGCAAGCACCTGCTGCAAGTTGGAGAGCTCTTGTTCATTCATTCCCAGCGAGTCTACGTAGGGCAGAACAAAATGCCGTAGCTGCTGCAGTAGCTGCAGCTCCACGTAAGATGCCATCTCAAAGTGATTGAGAGTGTCCGCGGGCTGGCTGGTTAGTTGCCGCTGCACTTGCTGCAAACGCGCCTCGCGCTCGCCCGGATTAAAGGTGAACATATCCATCATCTGTAGCCCGCTGACCACCAGCAACTGCGGGTGATAAACCTTCAGGGCATCCGTTAGCTGCTCCACGGCCCTCAGATGCGGATTATTCCGGTCGTTGTGCAGTATGTACCGATTGGCCCTAGGCGCCACGTACGAGCCCCAGGTGTCGCCGGCCTTGTACTCCAGAATAAGATGTATGTCATCGTTTGGGATCTCGTCGCCAGCCAGACGAATCTCCTTGGGCAACAGGGGGCGCAATCTGTAGAGAATGTTGCAATAAGTTCGATGGAGGCGGAAGTTTAAAGATTTGTTACTACTTTTTAGACATGTGGGCGCCCAGAAGAACCTCAGCTCCCTCCATAAAGAAGCGCACAGCCATTAGGGGTGCGTTTCCACCCATGTACCACTGGATCCGCTCCTTATCCATTATCTTGGCGTAGCCCACAAGCTGTTTGAAAAGGGTGCTGTTTGCCATTACCCGTCTGGAAAAGAGAACAGGAAGTATAATGCACCAAATGTAAATTAAGATTTTAATTTATGATTCAATGTGATATGAGGCCAGATAAATTTGACCTGGTCGAAAAGAGTATTTCATGTAAAAACGATATGAAGTGGATAAAAATAATTTCCATTTCATGTTTGGGCTTCCAAATCTTTTGAATCCCAAAAAGTCTTCAGATAATGCTTAACAAATGGACATCCATATCCATTTTTTTTTATAGCCATGTAAATTTTACATGAAATACTCTTTTCGACTAGGTCAAATTTACCTGGCCGCATACCAGATTAAAATTGATCTTAAATAATGTAAAATCGATCTACGTGCACTCACTCTGTTGCGGCGCCGTTCTGAAAGTAATAGGCAAATGATTGCAGTAGCTCGTCCTCGTTGTTGACGATCTCCCGAGATCCTGTTGTAGCCGCTGGGATGCGACGGCCGTAGTAGCGATTTAGAAACTCGGTGGCGTTTATTTGCAGGTCCGTGCAGGCTCCATATCCAATGGCCACTTTCGGCGCCGGTTCCAATGCGGGACGCTTCAGGGATCTAAAATTTAAAGAATGCTATTGTTGAACTAATAAGCTTTTTTATTAGTTAATGCAAACGAAAATAAGAAAATTGGGTTGGTTTATGCTTGTTAACAATTTATTATCGAAAGAGTACAGCAGGCGAGACGAGAATGCGTTTTATGACGAGATCAGAATTCATACTGAATTTACGAAGGGCCAGCCAGCCGAATGCTGGGCCCAAAATGCAAGCATACAACAAATGGGAGAGATAAATAGAGAGAGATGCCTTTCGTGATGCAATTGATATAAGAGTACGGATTTACAAGTTAATTAGCTGCTGCGGCTGCGTGACCCGACATACTCCCCCCGTTGGAAGCCTGGGTTTCAACATCATCCTTAAGGGGCAGCAGACATAGCTTGTTCACTGCTCGCTTTGTCACTCCTGACGCTGTCTTCAGAACGGCAACTCGAGCAACGCCATCTCCACCGAACAGCAGCTCAATCACTCTGGCGAGGGGCCACTTCATGGGAGGCAAGTTTTCGTCCTTGACCAGAACTAAGTCATCGACAACCAGGCCCGGTTTGGGGGTGCGCCACTTGGAGCGCTGCTGCAGAAGTGTTAGGTATTCTTCCTTCCATCGGGACCAAAAGATCTGCTGCAAGTAGGCCACGCGTTGCCATCCATCCAAGCGATTGAAGTTGAGACTGGTCACATCTGGCTCGACGAAAGATGAAGGCGGACCACCATTCAAAAAATGTGCTGGGGTTAACACATCCAGATCAGCGGGGTTTTCTGAAATCGAGACTAATGGTCGAGAATTAACAACCGCCGAAATGTGACACACCAAGGTCCGCAACTCCTCAAAGGCTAAAACAGCAGTGCCAACAACGCGGTAAAAATGATGCTTAGCGATCTTCACAGCCGCTTCCCAAAGACCGCCAAAGTGAGGCGACCTAGGAGGAATGAAACACCAATCAATGGCCTCCGCCAGGCAAAAGTCCAATGTAGCTTTCTGATGATCATTGCTGAGGAATAGGCGCCTTAGTTCGAGCAATTCATTGCGAGCGCCGACAAAGTTTGTTGCATTATCAGACCAAATCTGCCGTGGCTTTCTTCTAGTGCATATAAATCGTTTAAGGCCATGTAGAAATGACACTGTAGAGAGATCCTTAATCAACTCCAAATGAATAGCTTTTGTGGCGAAACAAATGAAGACACAAACGTAGCATTTTACTGGAGGCTTGCTTCGCACTTCTGACTTGTAGAGAAATGGTCGGCAAAAGTCAATGCCAGTGACTTCGAATGCATGAAATCCATCGAGTCGTTCCTTTGGAAGATCCGCCATTATATGCTCCACCAGTCGAGGCTTCATTCGATAGCATCTAATACATTTGTTTACTGCCTTCATCACCGTCTTCCTCCCCCAATAGGCCATTATTGGGATCGAATTATGCCGAGTAGCGCCCGTGGTCCAGTGTGCAGATTGCTTTAGTGAAAGTGAGTAATAATGGCAGCAGTGACCGAATGACTCCGTGGTAAGATAATTGGATGGCGCCCATTAAAATCCAGCGAAGAATTCTTTAGCCGGCCGTCCACTCTAAGAAGCCCAAATTGATCAACGAATGGCGAAAGAGATGCGATCGAGCTGGATGGGTGCACCAATCCCTTTGACTGCAACGATTTGATGTCGTCCCATAAATGTGAGCGCTGGACCAGACGAAGCAACAGCCGAGTACCGCCTTGAAGGTCAGACACCGTGAGCGTAGGGCGACGGATGCGATTACTAAACTTGTAGACGTATCCGAAAACTCTTTGAAGGGCGGCGAAGGAATTGGCAAATTTTGAATTAGCCACTATGTCTTCGTATGGAGATTTTATTAGTAAAATCTTTCGGCGAACCTCAAGCGTTGGTCTTTCAGCAATGATTGGGGCCGGCCAGTCAGCTTTGGGGCCACAAAGGAATTTTGGTCCATGCGCCCACAAAGGAGAGTCATTAAGCTCAGCAGGAAAAGCACCTCGGGAGAGAATGTCAGCTGGATTTAAAGAAGTTGGAACATATCGCCACTCTACTGACTCAGTTAGCTCTTGAATGGCAGCTACTCGGTTCGCTACAAAAATGTTGAACCTGGAGGGCTCGTCTCGGATCCATGAAAGCGCAACAGCAGAGTCGCTCCAGCAGTATAACTTTCCCACGCCACGCTCACATTTATGGGACGACATCAAATCGTTGCAGTCAAAGGGATTGGTGCACCCATCCAGCTCTATCGCATCTCTTTCGCCATTTGTTGATCAATTTGGGATTCTTAGAGTGGACGGCCGGCTAAAGAATTCTTCGCTGGATTTTAATGGGCGCCATCCAATTATTTTACCACGGAGTCATTCGGTCACTGCTGCCATTATTACTCACTTTCCCTCAAATGCCTTAGTCCCAGCAACTTCCGCGATGAGTCTAGACAGGAGTTCAGCCCCACAAAGCTCCAGCTTGGGCACAGTGAGTGTTTTTAAGGGGGCTACCCTTGACTTTGAGCAAAGCAATTGAGATCGGCCGTTGCAAACGATGTAGACACAGGCACCATATGCTTCTATGCTGGCATCACAAAATCCATGAATCTCACTCTCAGAGTTTGGAGAAAGAACCAGCCGAGGAAATGACGCATGCTTAATTTGCCCAAAACTCGTGCATATAGCACTCCATTCCGTATTCTGTGACTCCGGGAGGCTTTCATCCCAAGATAACTTCTCCTTGCACAGTTGTTGAAGGAATATTTTCGATTTTGTGATCACAGGTCCAACCAACCCGAGGGGATCGTAAAATCGCGCTATTGCAGACAGGACAGATCGCCTGCAAGGTCTTGATGCTGACTGTAAGACCGAAAAGGAAAACAGTAATTGGTCAGAAACTGGATCCCAAGCGAGACCTAGGGTTTTTGCAAAATCAGTTCCATCATCAAACTTCAAATAAGACTCCTTATCCTTGTCTGCAACTCCCTCCAAAACAGCTGACACATTCGAGCACCACTTTCTAAGCTTAAATTTTCCCTTGGCTAGAAGTTTTGATGTTTGATCCATAATGATGATTGCTTCTTCCTTGGATTTGGCTCCAGATATCAAATCATCCACATAAAAATCGCGACGAATGACCTCAGCCCCAAGCGGAAACGCTGTATGCTCGTCTGCTGACAGCTGATGCATAGCTCGCACAGCCAGAAATGATGCTGGCTTCGTGCCATAGGTAACGGTGTCTAGCTTAAACACCCGCAATTGATCCTGGGGGAATCCCTCCACAAAATGCATTGCAAATAGCTGTCCTCAGGCTGAACCCTAACACAGCGGTACATTTTGCAGATGTCTCCTGTGATTGCTACCGGGTGTGAACGAAACCGAAGAAGAATCTGGAACAGCTTATGCTGAATTACAGGGCCTGCCATAAGAACATCGTTGAGAGAATACCCTGAGGAGCTGGCCGCCGATCCATCAAAAACTACGCGGAGCTTTGTGGTGGAGCTATCTTCCTTTATGACGCAATGATGAGGCAAGAAGTATCGGCACAACCCGCTGTCAGAGGCAGACACTGATGACATATGTCCTAGATCGAGGTATTCCTTTATGAATGCTCCATATTGAGCCTTCAAGGCTGGCTGACGATTTAGCTTTCTCTCTAGGGACAAGAATCTTCGATAAGCTTGCTGGTAGGACTCTCCCAAGAGGTCTAGATTGAGCTTGGCAGGTAAACGAACAGAATAATCCCCAGCTGGCAAACGAACAACGTGTCTTACGAAATGTGCTTCACAGTCCAATTCTTCCTTAGTAGCGCGTATGATTGGCTCGGCGCAGCTTTCCACTTCCCAAAATCGTCGAAGAAGATCATCTAACCGATCGAAACTATTCTCCCTGCTAGCGAGGGGTAACTCTTGAGACGACAATAAGGACGAGCCATTGGAGAGGCCATAACCTCCAGAAACAACCCAACCCAGACGAGTCTTTTGAAGTAGGGGTAATCCATGTGGAAGCTTAATTTGGCCAACGCATAACATCTCGTAAAAGAGGCTGGCTCCGATTAAAAGGTCCACCCGCTGGGGAGTATAAAAACTGGGGTCCGCTAACTGAATATTTTTAGGTATTTTCCAATTGCCGATGTCGACATTGAAGCTAGGCTGCCGCTCTGTGATGTTCGGAGCAATCACCGCGGTAATGTTGGCTGAGTAATCGGAAGTTCGGGACCGAACCGTAATATTAACCGAATGACCATCCGTCACAAAACTGGAATCTCCTATTCCAGTAACAGATGCTAAAGATTTTATCTTCTTTACTTGAAGCTGGCTTGCGAATCGGGACGTTATTAGATGCAGCTGGGAGCCAGAGTCGAGTAGAACTCGACAGGGAACGAAAACTCCGGAGCGGTTTTTTACTAATACGCTTGCCGTTGCTAAGAGCACAATATCATTACTAAAATCCTGTGCAATGAGAGCAGTCGAGGTGGAAGGCAGTGCAGATGGTGATGCAGACGGAATTGCTTCTTGAAGAGGTGCTCCTTCTTGTGAAGAAAGGGAAGCTAAGTTTCCCATGTGAAGCAGGGTGTGATGCTTCGATCCGCATGCACGACAATTACTGGAATTGCACTGCCTAACTTGATGACCAACCTTAAGACAATTTATGCAAAGACAGAGCCGTTTTGCTTCTTGAAGCCTATTCGTAGGAGACAGGGCTTTAAAATTCTGGCAATAAGAAATGGAGTGACCTGCATCATTACAGAATATACAGATCCAAGGGTTCGAATTCGAGGCAACAAATGCTGATCTACGCGTATTGGGTATTCTGTTACTTCCCACCTGAATGCCCGGCGCATAGTTTGCCATGGCAAAATCCATCGTCTCCAACGTCCTGCACCGCTGCTCCAGAAATGATGCCATTGACTCCCAAGTAGGAATTAAGTTGACGAAGGCAGGGTCCTCTAAACGCTCTTCCCACTTGGCCTGACTTGCCGGATCCAATTTTTGGAACAGGATTTGGACGATGATGCATCCTGCAATTTGTTCCGTCGTGCCCAGCCCCTTAAGAGCGCGGATATGAGCGTTGAATTTATCCGACAGCTCCCGAAGTGTCGAAACGGAACCACTCTGCACCGCCTTTATTCCCAGGATCTCAGTAATGTGTGCCTGAAAAACCAAACGACGATTATCAAATCTATTTTGCAGTAAATCCAAAGCAATTGCGTAGTTGCCGTCCGAAATTTCCAGCGAGCGAATAGTTTCCAACGCAGTATCCCTCAGGCATGATCGTAGATGCTGCAGCTTTTCTATGTTGGTGAGATCAGGGTGACTATCTATGATAGTGGTAAACATAGAATAAAAATCAGACCAATTTGCATAACCTCCAGCGAATTTTGGAAGCTCAAGTGGAGGCAGTAATGTTGCCCTATGTCGAGGCTGACGCTGCTGGAGGCCGAAAGCTCCGGGAGTGATGCCGTCAGCAAGAGTTGAGTGCGAAAGGAGCTGTGAGGCGCGCTTTGAAATTTCGGATCGAACAGATGACTTCAAAAGTACGAGAATGTCATCAAATTTTTCACTCAAATCACTTTCAATTTCCTCGAAATCCAATTCTTCGAGCTCACCAAGAACCTTTTTAAATGTTCCTTGAAGCTCATCAATCAGCTCCAACCTCACGTGGAGCCCGGATTCGTCGCATGAAGTTAACGCCGCACTTGAAAGGGAATCCACTAAACGCTCCACTCTATTAAATAAAGCAGTTGCCTTGCGCTTTAAAAAATATCACCCTGTTTTCATCAGCGGTAGCATCTCCAGCAATTCCCGTAGGCATGGCTACAACAACAACAACGGCACAAGCAGACGAAATGCCCGAAATTCGGTTTCAGCGGGAAGATGAGCGCAAAGCAAACGAAGAAATAACGGCCCGTTAATTGGCTATGTACGCTCCAATATATAACTAATTTTTATGCAAATTTCGGCAACACAAAAATGCTATTTATTTATAGCGCTCACTGCATTCAAGGCTTTATTTTTTCGACAAATGATTTCTGGCTCCGCCAATGCACTGCAGCCGCAACAACGAAAAGTCAATAAATAGACTTATTTATGTGATTTGCACTTAATATTGTTTTTGTACGAATCACGTCGGGGTCACCAATGTTGAACTAATAAGCTTTTTTATTAGTTAATGCAAACGAAAATAAGAAAATTGGGTTGGTTTATGCTTGTTAACAATTTATTATCGAAAGAGTACAGCAGGCGAGACGAGAATGCGTTTTATGACGAGATCAGAATTCATACTGAATTTACGAAGGGCCAGCCAGCCGAATGCTGGGCCCAAAATGCAAGCATACAACAAATGGGAGAGATAAATAGAGAGAGATGCCTTTCGTGATGCAATTGATATAAGAGTACGGATTTACAAGTTAATTAGCTGCTGCGGCTGCGTGACCCGACAGCTATAGAAAGGTAGTACATAATACACCAAAATACTCACCCCTCGATGGCCAGGAGACCGGTTAATAGGACAGTAGTCCTATTCAGCGTCTGCAGAGAGAGAAAAGCCTGCCAAATGATGGAAACGAAGGCCGTGAGGACTGAACAGCCGGTGACCCAGCCCATGTATCGCAGGGCGGTCATTGTGGGCGGGGTTTCAATGGTTGCTCCACCAATCGTCGATTCCAACCAATTTTATCAATGACTTTCCGCTGCTCGGCTACTCCAAATTTCTTATCAGCCGGAATTATCGCCCTTTTTCCTTGGTTGTGCTTTCAAGCCAGCGATGGCACTATCTACGGTTCCTTGACTATCGCGATAGTATCGAGCTAGCTTATCAACAGTTTTATTTAAATTTCAAATTTCTGTATTTAAATATATAATATTTAATATATAATCTTTAAATTTGTAAGTGAGCAGGAGCCCTAGAAGCTCGTCTGGGGTAATAATGAATAATATCACACAGCCGCTTAAAATTGCAAAGTTGTAGCAAGCATGTTTACAAAGGCCGCCGCTGTTGCAAGAGCAGTTCACGCAAAAGAACACTCACAATGCCCCCTCTAAAGGCCAATATATAATTATTCAATGTTCCAAATAAATTTTAAAAATATATAACTTTTTTTGTAAGTAAAATTTATTAATTGTTAATTAGGTGAAATTTTTAGCATTTTTAATTACTTAACTGTTTTGGAGTTCATAAGTAGTAAATTGTATAACCGTACTACCGTAACTTACAATAAAATACTCAAAAAGAAATACTGAAATACCGCATGTGAGGTCACATTTTCCAGTCCCTTTCTGTCACATTCTTCACAAGCGTCAATTCTCTTCTACTTGTGCAGACGACCGGACTCAAATCTGAACTTCATTTATTTCAGAGCAAACAATTTAATAAAAAGTGAAAATGTCGGAACAGAAATTCGCGCCAAACTTCGAAGAGTACCTTATCTGTCCGTACGACAGTGTGCATCGAATTATGCCAATTAGGCTTACCTATCATTTGACAAGGTGCGCGAAGAATTTTCCGGCTGCCAAAATGGTCAGATGCCCCTTCAACTCGACCCATTTGCATTCGGTGGCCAACATGCAGGTGGGTACTAAGCCAATCCAATATCCGAAACGAATAAAGGTACTCATGCTCATATATTTTAATGGCATTCTCGATTTTGCAGAAACATGTCATTGAGTGCCCGGACAGATCGTCGATGGAGCGATACAAGCTGCCAGACATGCTGCCCCCCGCTGAACCGCGTCCAGTTGGTTTAGTAGTGGAGACCACTGAGGATTGGGATGCTGAGCCGCCGGCCCCGACGTACAACCCGAAGAGCTACTGCGACAAGGAGTTTGTCATCCGCAATCCCCAGGGTGCTCCGCCGGCGGCTCGACGCCAATTTCGCGAAAACGAACGTCGGCGTTTCAGGGAGAACAATCAGTTCTAACTATCAATCTTCACCATATACAAGTATTACTGTATACATCCATATGTAAAACCCTAACATATAGCCCTCTTTTTAAGTTTTTCATAGAAACTAATGTAATTTAATACATTTGTAAAGAGGAGTGTTGAATCGTCGGATTTATTTTTTTTTGTTTGCTTTAGGTCAGCAAATATTTTTAAGTATCATTTCTTTCTTCTATTGAACAGAACAGCTATTCCACTGTTTATTCCAGGAAACCGTAAAAACAGAAACATTTGATGCTTTTACTTTCATTTTCTTTTATACTTTTTTGTCGTTTGCACTTTGGCGCCTCATGGAAAAGAACCGCTAGGTCGCGTCGTTGCCACTCTGTCGTCCGATAGTTGGTCGGCCTTTAACGAAAATTGAAAACAAGGAAATACAAAATATAATTTAAAATCATGTTATTAAAACTTTTGATACATTGAAAAAATATATGTTTATTTGAATTTAGAATTTAATGTAAAACCAATAATAAAATAAAAGAAAAGTAACTGTTTTTTCTTAAATATTTTTTTGTTTGCTGCTCCGTTTAATGATTCGATGGTAATAACATTTATTATAGTATCTACAAAAATAAGGCTTGTGGACGGAAATGCCCTAGTTTTATTACGATATCCGTCCTCCGGAGGAAAATATATGGACAAAGAGAGAAAGAAATACAAAATACTTCCAGCGATTTGTACAAACTTCTTCCCGTCTCTTACTAGCAAATGTACTTACAGTCAGTCAAAAAAGTATTCGTTGCGAGGTGGTCCATAAACAAATTGAGTTTTTTTTAACAAACGCAACATATTAATTATTTTATTAATTTTTTGAGTTTCAACACGTATTCAAAATAAATATAATAAAAAAATGAACAAAAAGAAGGTTCATAAAGGATTAAATAAAATAAAATTAAAAAATAACGTCTCACAAAAGGGTTCGTTTGGCATGGCATTATTCCGAAGTACCTTAAGATTTTTAAACTATTAAACATCTTCAAATAAGAATTATAGACCCGGAACAACCATTCCAACTTCTCCGGGATTGAGTCTCCGCTAAATTGACCAAGGTTTCCCACCACTTGGGTAGTTTATTTTTTGTGGTTATTTTTAGCACGACTCTCACGCTCCGAAGTCAAGTTTAACGGTCGAACTGCGGTCACACTGCTTGCATCACCTCAGTAAAATCCAGCGTCTGTAAATTGTTAAAATAATTTTGCTATTGAATCGCCTTGAGAATTTCAGTCACCGTCGCTCCATATATAAACTCGTGTAACGTAACAGCCTGATTTAGCCGAGAAGCCGAGCATTTCCCCCAATCGGTTGCGTTGCGAATAGCAGTGAGGTCCGCTAATTGGCAAAACCGATTCGATTCCAGGGAAGGAGACGCATAAGCAGAAGGGTGAAGAACAAAGTGAGGAGGAAAACAACAGTTAATCGTCAAATTTTACAGGAAAAGGTGAGCAACTACGCCTTGCACACACACACATTCATTCGCAACGACACACTCACACTGGCCTTATCGCCTGCGTATTGGTGTATATAAAAAATTAAAACAATATTTGCACATCCGATTATTACTATAATAATTCGCGTCCATATATTAACAAGTGTGCGTGCGGCTGCCCTGGATTTGCGTGCCTGTGTGTGTGACGAAATGCAATTTTATCTTGGCATTTTGCGCGCCTCCGAAATTCGTTGCCCCTGTGATTCTGCTTTCCACCTACCTCCCATTTTCCATTTCCCATGTCGCCATTTTCGCACCTTCGCTAATCTCAATCCAATTTCTGACTTGCTTTTGCCCCAGAAGGCAGTCCACGATGAGCTCCGCGGAGGAAAACAGCAACAGCCCGGCCACCACGCCCCAGGACAACGAGGCCGCCGAGCAGGCCAACCTCACGGATCTCGAGAAGATCGAGGAGGAGAAGCTCAAGTCCAAGTATCCCAGCGGAATGCGCGTGCCCGGCGGACACTCGGCTTTCCTACAGAAAAGGCTGCAGAAGGGGGTGAGTGCCTGGGATCCAATTCAGTAGTTTCAGATAGTCGCGTAGCTTTCGGCGTTGTAATAAACCCATTCCTAATAAGGTGTAACATAGTAATGGGGTTTTGAAATCAATCTTTAAAATTCTCCTTTAAAGTATATTCATAATTAAAATTAAACATGGTATAAGGGCACCTCCAACGAAAAATTCGGCAGACCAACCGAACGGTAATAAAAAACATTTCCATCGGTGTGTCATAGAAAATCCCATTCCTCCAAGTATCGACCGACATTTATTAGGAATTCGGTAACAAGAGACTGAGCATTATGGGTTTTTACATTTATAAGAATATTAGCTTCCTAAGACATTTAAACATTTCGCTATCCGCACTCTAATACATTATTAAATTCTACCCCACAGCAAAAGTTCTTCGACTCGGGAGACTACCAGATGGCCAAGCAGAAGGGTGGCGGCGTCAAGCAGGTCTTTGCCAACAAGGTTACCACCGGGGAGGCCATTCCCACGCCCGAAACCGTGCCGGCGCGCAAGACTTCGATCATCCAACCCTGTAACAAGTTCCCGGCGACGAGCTAATTTACTCACCTCTCACGTCTACTCTATCCACAACCTCAACTGCAGCATGTTCCCCGTTCCCACTTCAAATGCTCTATATGCCTAATTTTAAAGAAACCCCTAATGCTAAGATGGCTGCTGCCGGATTGTGCAGGCATTTCGCGAAGGTCTAAACTGAATTTGTAGCTCCCCGTTCCGTTTCCCCCTAAACTTTAAACGCCAACCGCACTGGCCAATCTCAAGATCCCGTAATCAGTCCAACTCTCAGGCCGGGGAAGCGAAGATAGCGAGCCGAGCAGCGCGAAATTTTTTGCAACAGTTATATATATCTCTATCTCCGTAACATTAACATAACTTACCCTGATCGTACGTAGCTGTAAGTATTACGAGCATAATAAATTTAAGTTGGAGCCACCCACAAACATACTGTTCTCGTACATTACAGGGATTCCCTCAACTTCTTATAATTTACTTTGGCCTAATAGTTTTCAAAAATCATCCATATTAAATGGAAAATATTTCAATTTTAAAGAGCACCCAATCATAAGCTGTTGAAGGAATTTCTCTGAGTAAAATAGGTATCTGCTGCTTGCAGAGTTAAATTTTTGATGCGAAAGCCAAACTGTCGAGTTAAAATCAATTTGTAAAACCAGCAGAGCTAAAATAAATGTATGTACGTACTACTTAAAAATGTGATGATTTCCTGGGCGCTAATCTAACAACTGAATCTGAAGATGTGCCATACAAATGTTTACCTAAATGATAAGTGTCTGAGTGGCAATGCGCCTAATTAGTTCGAAAACATTCGGATGAGGGAATTTGTTATCCAAATTGGCTAGTAAAAAATATAAACAACTGAAATAACGGGATAGTTATATCTTTGATTCTTAAATAACACCAAATTATATTATTTGTCGAATGTGTTAATTTCCACTATATGAGCCTTCTCGTGCCCTATATGACTGCCCGATTTGAAGTTAAGGGCCGATTTCTAATAGTCATGATACCATTTGTCATTGTGTTTTGGAAAAATGTAGTAACTAAATATCATAATTGCTTTTATATAACACTGAAAGTTGAAGTTTTAATCAATAATTGCTTTTAATAATTAAAATGTTCTAATATTTTTTACCCAGAAAATCATTTTTTGTCCCACAGTGAAACGGATTCAATCAAAGTTTTAAACCATAATCCATTTCCGCAAATGTCCTTTTCCAAGTTCTTCACCAGTTGTTGTTGTTGTTGTTGTTCTTTTAATAATCGATAACTTCCGGGAAAAACATCGGCAGTATTAAATTACTGAAACTATCGATAGTCTTAAATAAACATCAATTTGGTTTCAGCTCTAGAAGGAAGGAGCAGCGGTGATAAAACGAGAAAAATTGAAGTTTGAATGCAATTTTTCCGCCTTAAATAGCATCTGGAATGCACTTCGCGATAAGCTCCGTACCGCCTAACATTTTCCGAAGTTCGCGAGCGGGAAAAAGCAGCGCCAAGACGAGAGAACACGCTGAAATGTAGATGTCCACGAGCAGCCGCAGCAGCAGCAATAACAAAAGCAAAAGTGAAATTAGCGCCGCCAGGGAAGTGCAAGTGGCCAAGCAAACGGCGGCGCCATGGAAAATCTCAAGATAAGCGATAAACTGTTCGAGGATGTGATTTACTATGTGCTGGGAAACTTGGACGAAGAGGTAAATCTGCAAAACGAATCTTCCGCTGTTGCTGTACTTGCATTGTGCGTGTGTGAGTGTGCGTGCGTCTGTGCTCGACCGCACAGGGTGGCTCGGAGTGCGGGCGGACAGGGTGACCCGGGCACCTTGCCAAATGCGCGCCATAAATGTTGCCGGCAAATTGCCGTGTGTGTGTTTGTGTATTTGAGGTTGTATTGGTGCGAAATCAACTGATTTTGTTTTGGTTTTTTGCGCGGCGAGCAAAAAGAAGAGATTTTAATACTCCTATGCTGTTTATCAATGAGTTGTTTCAAAATATCTCAAAATACAATTTAAAAATATTTTTAATTAGTCATTAATAGTTAATAGTGGCTCATTATAATAACTTTAATTCTTATCACTGTTAGGCCAGTTTTCTCGTCCGCATGTTAAATTTAAAGTAGGATTTAAATCTTGAAAATGTATGGGAATTCAAATTTTAAAGTTTCTTCTTTTTAATAATATGATTATTAATATCTATGCATTTTATTAATTACTATGATTTTTGCAGATCGAACGCTTTCTCAAAAGCGGGGGCGCGCAATCAAAGTCCTTCGTATCGGATCAGATCACGCATATGATATGCGCCTCCAACTACACCGAGGAGGAGTTGTCCATGAACCTGGACCTGTACAGCGCCATTCCCGTGACGGAGCAATGGATCGTGCACAGCGCCAAACTGGGCCGAATGGCTTCGACGAAGGCCTTCGATCCGAGTCCCAATCAGATGCGGCTCATGCGCGGCATACGGGTGGCCATCACCAACGTGGTGGCCGGTGATCGGAGGCGCCTCTACGCCATGCTGACCTACCACGGTGCCGTCGTGACGCACAGCTTCGGGGCCACCAACACGCATCTGGTATGCGGAGCTGCCAACGGCGGCATCTACAACAAGGCGCTGGCGCTGCCCAAGAATGCCATCATCATCGTCACACCTGACTGGGTGACGGACAGTCTAAAGTACAAGAACTGCATGCCGGTGGAGAACTATCATCCCAGATTACTTAAGCCCATTGAAAAGCAAAGAACGCAGAAGCAGCAGGCCACTCAGCAGCAGCAGCAGATGCAGCAACAACAATTGCAACACCAGCAACAGCTGCATCAACAGCAGCAGCAACAACAACAGCAGCAGCAGCAACAACAACAGCAGCAGCAGCAGCAACAACAGCTACAACAACAGATTATCCAGCAGCAGACTACTGCTACATCCACACTCTCAGATATCCTTGGCTTTGGCGAGGACAGCGCAGCTGCCAAGAGTATCGCGAGTATCAAGTCTCAGCTGCAAGCCTCCGCCGAACAAATCCAACAGCAACAGCTGCCCGTGCCCGCCCAGCAGCAGGTGGTATTTGTGCGCCCCCAGCCACAGGCCCAGAAGCCAGCCCAACAGCAATCCCCGCACCAGCTGCAACAAGGCGGTCCTCAGGCACCTGGACCAGCAACACACCCGCAGCAGCACCAACAACAACAGCTAATAATTCAGCAGCAAAAGATTATACCCGCCAATCTGCAGCAACAGCCACCAAATCAGCAGCAGATCAAAAATATCCTGCAGCAGCAGAGGCAGTTGAAAAATACGCAGCAGCAGCAGTCTCAGCAGCAGCAACAGCAACAAATTCAAATGATTCAGCAGCAACAGCAGCAGCAGCAGCAGACTCTCATGCAGCAGGAGCAACCGCAGCATCCGCAGGCACTTCCACAGCAGCACCCACAGCCCCTCCCACAGCAGCTCCCTCAGCCCCTTCCACAGCAGCACCCACAACAACATCCACAGCAGCACGCCCAGCAACTTCAACAACAGCAGCAGTCGCCCAGAATGCCGACAACTCCAACAGGCCGGCATACACCACGAACACCATCCACAACGCCTCAGCCTGTTCAGTCTCCGCAGCACCATCAGCAGATAGTGCAACAGCAGGTGGGTCAGCAGCAAGTGGGTCAGCAGCAGACGATAGTGCAGCAGCAGCAAATAGTTCAACAGCAAGTTGTTCAGCAGCCGCAACAACAATCCGTACCCGTTTCGCCGCAAATGATACACCAACACCTAATGCGGCAGCAACAGATTTTGAACCAGAATCAAATGCAGCTGCAGCAAATCGTGCAAAGCGGACAAGCGTTGACCCCACAACAGCAGCAGCAGCAAAGACAAATTCAGCAACAGCTTCAACAAGTCCTGCAGAACCAACAACAATTGCAGATGCAAATGCAGCAGCAACAACAGCAGCAGCAGCAGAATTTGCAGCAACAACAGTCCCCACGGATGGTGCAAAACCGTTCGCCAGTTATGCCGCCAAGTACGCCCTCGCCATCGTTGCAGCAGCAGCAACAGCAGCATCATGCTACTAGCAATATGTTGCCACCACAGTCACCGCGCCAACTGCAATCGCCAGCTCCACAGATGACTCCGCCGCCTCCGCCCTCGCCGCAGAGCGCCCAACAACATCACTTGCGCCAGCAGCAACAACAAATGCAGCAGAATCGCCAGCAGCACATGATGGGATCACCGCAGCAGCCCCCAATGATGTCCCCGCAGCAACAACAACAAATGCCCTTTCAACAGCCCGTCCATCAGCAGCAGCGCATGCAACTGCAACAGCAACAACAATTGGCCCAGCAACAACAGCAGCAGCAACAGCAACAGAGTCCGCAGCACATTTCGCCGCAGTCGCCCCAAATTTCCCAAACTCCACCAATGCAGGCCAAACTGCATCAGCATCAGGCTGTGACAGGACATTCCGCTCAGCCGCAGCCGCAGTCATTCTCCCAGCAGAAGCCCATCGACCCAACGGATCCTGTTCAAGTCGCTCAGGTGCTAAGCCGTTCTGCATTGAGCAGCAATCAGGACTCGCTAATAATGAGGCAACAACAATTGAAGCAGCAACAACAATTGCAACAGCAACAGCAAATGGCACCGCAACCACAGCAGCAGAATATTGGACAGCAGCCGCAGCAGCAACAGCAGCCACAACAACAGCACACACCGTCACCACGGCAGTCTCCACTGCAGCAACAACCTACCACGCCGACGTTGCAACAACAGCCACAGCAACAACAACAAAATCCTCAAGTAAATTATAAAACAATTATTTATTTACTTATATTTTATTTATTTATATAAAGCTAACATAGAGTATAAAACAGTGAGGAAACTAAGAACTAGGAGTACAGCTTAGGATTTCCGTTCAACAACGATGTCATATTCCGTCTGAATCACTGCCACTTTTGGTTTTTAATTGTATGGATTAGGTCAGCTTTTTGTAGAAATGTTATTTGTTGATACTTTCACCAGTTTGGTTTGCAATGGCAGTGGACTATAATATATTTTTGCTTCATTTAGTAAATTGGTGGTAGGTGTTGGATTAAAAGCTTTAATATATGGAAACTATATGAGAATATTCTAGTAGGAGTGAGGTCGTAAGTTGGGAAACTTTGAGCGTGACACCCGTTTTGCATACAAAAAGGCCTCAGCCTGACAAAGGTTGTTATTTAATTTAATTGTTATTTGGTCTATAAAAATTTTCTAAAATTTTTGAGTACGTTTGGTATTAGTTTTCTTTTTTATTTGTTGCTTTTAAAGCTAAAACACTAAGCTTTCGCTTGGTACCTAACACGTGAAGTTTTATAAGCTTATGACCAAATATCAGATCAAAAACAAAAGGTGTTCCAACCTACAGACCTCTCCCCTTCAAATCTGATTTTTGAGTTTCGCGTAGCCTTTAAGCGGTTTGGGAGCGCTAAATATGTTTAAGATGAGAATAAATTTCATGAATTAGATAAGAGAGAATGTGTTGGTGCTGTATTTTTTGAAGGTCAGGTGCTTGATGATTAGGCGTTATCTTTTCGTTATTTATAGGGGCAATTTACTTGATGTTTGGGGGTTGTATTTACGTTATATATAGGGGTTATTTAGGCGTTACATTTTTATACTCGTAGAGTAAAAGGGTATATTGTACTCGTTCAAAAGTATGTAACTGGTAGAAGGAAGCGTTTCCGGCCTTTAGTCTATATTCTTGATCAGGATCACTAGCCGAGTCGATTTAGCCATATCTGTTTGTCTGTATGAATGCTGAGCAAGCAGTTGCTTTACTGCATGAATTTCTTGATCTCTCTCCCACTTCCTTTGGCTGAGTAATTCGACTATAGCTTTCTTTGTTGTTTTATAGCTGTACCAGTTGTATCTAGTTCCTAGGATTGTTGTCTAGTTTGTTAATGGGATGTTTAGTGCTGGTTAATTTTTTGGATTCGCAATTGTACTTGCGACAAACTTAATTTATTTCTTAGCAAAGATTAATAAACTTTTCTATTTAGCAAATTCAGCAACAGCAGCCACAACAACAACAACAGCAGGTCCTGACACAGCAACAACCCCAGCCTGGACAACAGCAACAAGTTATCACCCAGCGCCACGTTATTAACACATCCACGGCACAAGGACAACAAATCATTCAAAGCCATATGTCTTTGGCTCTGCAGAAGCAGCAGCAAATGTTGCAGGTTCAACAACAGACACAACAGCCGCAGCAGCAACAACAGCAGCTACCTCAAGTGCAGCAAATTCCCTCGGCGCAGCAGCAACAGCAGCAGCTTCCCCAGCAGCAGCTACCGCAACAGCACGCGCAGCAACAAGTACAATTTACACAGCAGCAGCAAATTGCTCTTGGAGCTGGTGGTCAAGTGCGAATAATTCAGCAGACGATACAGCGTCCACCAACCAATGTCCAGCAACAACAACAGGTTCCACAACAACAACAACAACAGATTATTGGCCAATTTCCACAACAACAGCAACTGCAACAACAACCTCAGCAGGTATGCTTATTCAATATTTTAAGTATCTAATTTTCAGGCGCTATTTTAGAATACATTTTAGATTTCAATTTTTATTTCTTTAGAATTGCTCTCGTGGCAAATTGATAAATTAAAATTCAACTCAAACAATATATATATTTTATATTGTGAACTTATTTAGTTTACTTTCTTGCATTGAGTTTATTCTTATTACTTTTCACAGCAAAATTTATAAAAGTAGATGTTCTTCTCACTTCTTGAAGTTATTGAATGTCTTTTGCTAAAGCCTCAATTACAACTCGAAAAATATAACTGTTATTTCTGACTACTTAGTCGTTTAACCATAGAACCTATCTAACTCTAGTGAACTATTTTATACTGATTTTTTTGTTCGAGCTTGTAGATATTTTAAACGTGTTTAACGTATTTGAAATAGTTATACCCGTTACTCGTAGAGTAAAAGGGTATATTAGATTCGTGCAAAAGTATGTAACAGGTAGAAGGAAGCGTTTCCGACCCTATAAACTATATATATTCTTGATCAGGATCACTAGCCGAGTCGATCTAGCCATGTCCGTCTGTCCGTCTGTCCGTCTGTCCGTCTGTCTGTCCGTCTGTCTGTCTGTATGAACGCTGAGATCTCGGAAACTATAAAAGCTAGAAGATTGACATTTTGCATGCAGATTCTAGGAGTTCCTACGCAGCGCAAGTTTGTTTCAAAAGGGTGCCACGCCCCCTCTAACGCCCACAATCGCTTATATACGATTTTAAAAATTTCAATATTTCGGAAAAGTAAAAATGCAGTTTTATTGTGTTTATCAATACCTATCGAAATGTAGAAGAAAGTTTTTAAATCGGACCATTCGTTAAAAAGTTACGGCGGATCAAAGTTTAACCCACGAGTTAAGCCAATTATCTCCTTCGCTCTCCCTTTAGCTGAGTAACGGGTATCTGATAGTCGGGGCACTCGACTATAGCGTTCTCTCTTGTTTTTCTTAATTTTTTGGTAATAAACATTTTTATTTATTTTTATTATCGTAGCAACAAATTCTTGGAGTTCAGCAGCCACAACAGCAGCAGCAGCAGCAACAAAAAACATTTATTATTAGTCAGCAGCACTTCAATCAACTTAGCGTGCAACAGCAGCAGCAAATTTTGGCTCAAAATCCGCAAAGCCAAAACGTTTACGTGGTCAATCAGACCCAACAGCAACTTGTGCAGCAGCAACAAATGTTGCAGCAGCAGCAGATTATACCGCAGCAGCAACAACAGCAAAGGATGCAAATGCAGCAGCCGCAACAGATTGTTGTGAATCAGCAAATTCTAAGCGATCCGCAGCGCTTGCAGTACCTACAACAACAGCAGTTGATGCAAAAGCAACAGCAACAGCAGCAGCAACAACAGCAGCTAGTGGGACCGCAACAGCAACAAATCCTTATACAACAGCAGCAGGCCCCCCAACAGCAGCAGATATTGCAGCAGAAGCTTTCCAACGATCCCCAACAGCAACAACAAATAATGCAGCTTATCACGCAACAACTTCCGCAACGCACGCCGCCACCTCAACAGCAACAACAACAACAACTGCTGCTGCAGCAATCTCCGCAACACCATCAGCAAATGCCACAACAGCATTGGTCGCCCCAGGTCAGTGCATTTAAAGCCCAAAATAGAATATTAATTGTTTATTTTAATTACTGTTGTATTAATCTTAAGTTTTAAAAAATGGTATATATTTAAATCAGACGATCAAATGTAGATCAAAATTTTCTTATTTCTATATGGGTTAATGGCAATCCTGGATAATTTTGGCCAAATAATTGTATCGTATGACCTTGGCTTAATTTATGTTTAAATGTTTATCAAAAATGCTAAGTAGGGGAGAGTGGGGGAATTTCGTCAGCATTTTTTCAAAGCTATTTTTTGTCCATCTTGAGACACGTTATCATATTTCTATTTTTATTGTTGAATGCGGTTATCACCTAGCTTAAAAATGTGACATTCCCCTATTTTTTTAATTACCTTGGGGATTTATAAAAAATTAAAAAGTAAAACCAATATACTGGGGCAATCTCGCCACATAGGGGGGTAGAATCGCCACACAACTGGGGAAATTTCGTCACCTGAAAAATGTAGGGAACTTTACGCCTGTAAGTATGCTACACTGATCAAGCGTACCATTTTTGTTGACGTCCTATATTTGTTGCTGCTGCCGGTAGTCTGTTCGTTAGCCAGCTCGTCAAATAAAAAAATATGTATTCAAAATAGGTCCGAATATACAATAAGCATAGGGTGGCGAAATTTCCCCAGACAGTACTTTTTTAGAAATAATTATTTTTCTTCCGAAATTAGGCGCGAAGTTAAAAATCACTAACGCAGAAATGCACATTATAGCACTGTGTATTATATAAAAAATCGTGTATCTTATTCCTTTTGAATTGTGGCATACAGAAAAAATTTCGTCGAGAACTAAATGTAGCTTTTGAACTGTTAAAACACATTTAATATTATAGCTTAATTATCTTGGCCTTCTGTGCAAAACAAATGCATTGGTTGTGTCTGGCCGTCTTGAAGGACTAAAACAAAAAAATTATATATTTTTACGACTTATGGATTCCGAGATATTGCAGATGACGAAATTGCCCCTGTGACGAAATTCCCCCACTCTCCCCTAAGCAAAAATAAGGAAAATATTATAATTATTATTAAATTATAAATTATTTAAAAAAAAGGAACTTAATACGAAGAAAAATTTAGATTTGTTGTCTTTCTTTTTAAACATTCTATCTCATCCTTCTTCGCTTCTGTAATTGTATATTAACGTATATTTCCTTTATTTCTTTCAGAGCCCTGCTGGCGGTCAGGTGGCCCCCAGTACTCCAGGAACTCCGGGGATGCAATCCCCGTTGTCCAGCGTACCAACCACGCCGCAGCCGCAAACACAGCAGCAATTTGTCCCGCGTGGGTTGCGCCCGCAAACCTCTTGGCCCGGTCAGGCACAGCAGCAGCAACCTCAACCTCCTCAGCAACAGCAACAGATCGTCCTGCCGCCACCCCAACAACAACAACAACAGCAGCAACAGGCACAGGTTGGCCAACAACAACAGCTGGTACTGCAGCAGCCCCAGCAACAGAAAATAGTGGTGGATGAGAAAACACACACGCATCTCATGTCGTTGGATGTTCACAAGAGAGCAGAATACATCGCCAAGTTAAATCAGCAAAATCAGCAAAACAAACCACGGGTAATGCTGCGGCAGCAGGTTGCCTACCAGCCACGACCCGGAGCACCGGGAAACATAGTCTCAACACGACATGCCGGTCCTGTTCCTCCCGGTCACATTATTGTCCAACAGCAAATGCCACCTGGATTAACGCAACAGCAACAGGTGCTCTGGCTGCAGGCACAACAAGGCAAACGTCAGGTTGTCGTACGCGCCGGAACTTCTGGCCTGAGTCCCATTCAGCAGCAGCCGGGAGTGGGACCTCCGCAGCAGCAGCAGTCGCCGCAGCAGCAGGCTTTTAATCCTAATGATCCCAACCAGCAAATGCTGATGCAGCGCCAACAGTTGCGAGTACAGCAGATTCCCATCCAGCAGCAGGGACCTCAGCAGCTCGGGAAGCAAACGGTGCAGCTCATGACTGGGCCCAACGGGCAGCTGATCGAGCAACAGACGATCGTCCAACAGCCGCAGCAGCAGTCCGCTCCGGGCACGCCCACCACTCCAGGCGCTGGGGGCGTTCTTCCCGGAAATGCCAACATAATGACACAAACCCTGGTCATGACATCAACAAGTGAGTATAAATAATACAGCCCATTACTCTGGCCCAAAATTGTTATACCCTGGCAGAAGGTATAATGATCTCAGTCAGAAGTTGACAGGCAGTGAAGGAGACGTTCCGACCCTACAAAGTATACATATTCTTGATCAGCATCACTAGAATAATCGATGTAGCCATGTCTGTCCGATCCTTCGCGAACTACTTTCCATTTTGAAGCTATCGGGATGAAACTTCCCAAAAATCTTATTTCTATTGCAAATAGTATAACCCTCGGAAGCAGTCCGATCGACAACTATATCCTATATCGGTCGTAGGAGAGATCGGAGAAATAATGGGAGAATATTAATGTTGTTTTTTTTTTTAATAAATTCTTTTACTCTTGGGAATATCATTTTTTAAATATTTCTGAGTTTTGAAAAATTAATGTCAAAATATTACCAAAAATGAGAATAAATTTCAATTTAATCTTTTTGTAATTTGTAATAATCTGCAAGGGTATATAAACTTCAGCTTTCCGAAGTTGTCTTTCTTTTTGTTTTATTTAGAATTAAGCACACTCAAAAATTGTATGTTGGTCATTTAGACGATTTATTCTTATTTCTATTGGTTTATTGCTTTAAAGCATGAAAATATAAAATAATTAGAGTATTCAAAATATTTGATATTTATAATTAAAGGAAATAAAATAAATTGCATTTGTCTTTGGACGAGTTAGTGGTATAGTAAAGAATATTTATAGATATGCTGTTCGTTCTACTCTTCTAACAATAGTTTGTTACTTATTAACTCGCATTTTTTACACAGCTCCTGATGGTCAGCCGCAACAAACACCGCAGCAAATGAACCTGAAGACCAAGACGGCACTGGCCAACATGCTAAGTAATCGGTTAGGAAACAATGGAGCTCAGACACCGCAGCAGCAACTAATTCAACTGCCCGATGGTCAGCAACAACAGCAGCCCCAGCAGCAGCAGATTGTGCAGCAGGTGGTGGTGACCGGAGCTATTCAGCAACAGCAACAACAATTGCTCCTGCAACAACAACAGCAGCAGCAGCAACAAATGGTTGTCCAACAGCAGCAGCATGTCGAACCACCATCAGCAGCTGGTGCTCTCAGAATGATGGGCCAGCAACACAGCGCCTCTGCCGGAGTGCCTGGACCTCCGCGAACTCAACAGGAGTTGCTAATGCTGCAGCAGCAACAACAACAACAGCAGCAACAACTGCTGCAACAGCAGCAAATGCGCAGAGTGGTTGCTCTTCCGCAACAACAGCAGGCACCGCAGCAGCATCTGGTCCAGCAACAGATTGTTGTCGCTCCCCCGCAGTCGCCGCAACAGCAGCAACAGATGGCTGTGGGTGTGGGCGTGGGTGTGCCGGTACAGCGGACTCCTCACGGCTACATTCAGGCCCGTCCGGGACAGCCACCGATACCGATGCCCCAGTTCTACGGTCACAATCCAAATCTAAAGCTGCCGGCTGATCTTTTCCTGGTCGGCTGCACTTTCTACATAGTGGAATACGACGAAACAGACGGCGATGAGCTCCCCATCTGGCTAGATACGATCCGGCAGTTTGGCGGTGACATCGAACGAGTCTACTGCCCCAGGGTTACCCACGTTATTTGCCGCACTCAGCGGCACGGCGTAGTGATGCAGGCGTTGCGGGATGCCAAGCGTTGCGTCACAGCCTACTGGCTAAGTGATATTTGCCTAAAGCGGCAGCTGATGCCTCCGTGGCAACCGCTGCACTTGCCTTTCCCAAGCCAGTTTGGCTATCGGAAGCCGTTAGAACGCTATATAATAACCTCCGAGGGATTTGAGGGCGAAGAGGTGGTGAGGCTGCAGCAGATGGCCGAGGAATGCGGAGCCATCTACACCTCCTATCTTTCCAAGGTGAACACTGTGGTCGTATGCAAGCAACTCGAGGGGAATAAGTTTAATGCGGCCAAGGAGTGGAACATCCCGATGGTCAATGCTCTTTGGCTGAGCGACGTCTGCATCGGCAACCTTAGTGGCCTCTCGCAATACGACAATCCCAAGTACCAGCAGTACAATCTGGTCGCTCCCTTCCGCATCGAATGCAATTTGGTGGCGCACCTGCTGAGTAAGTATATATTTAACTGATGCCTGGTAAGCTTATTTAATGGTTTTTCGTTTTATAGCTGCTTGGAAGGCGCCTATCAATCTCACACAGGAGGCGCACGAGCGGGTCAAGCGCCATCTGTCCGATCCCTATGGCAACGAGCACAAACTTAAGCGCCAGAAGATGAACTCATTTCAGCAGGAGCAACTGCCTGAGCAAATTGTGTGCCTCGAATATCCTACAACCACCAAGCCACCCAAGGTTATTTTCTCCCAGGTCGCGGATGCCGAGGCACTTAAAAAGGCAGTGTTGTAAGTAAAGCATGTTAAATAGTTCTTCAGCATTAAACTCTAACTCATATTCTTTTCTTTGCTCTTAGGATTTTGGGTGGAATTGTGGTGGACAACCCTGCAGATGCCACTCACCTGGTGATGACACGCGAGAGTCGAACCTGCAAGCTGATTCAGGCCTGCTGCCATGTGGACTATGTGCTTAAGTCGAGCTGGATTGCGGATAGTGCCAAAGCTGGTAAATTTGTGCCCACCGATTCATATCGCATACAGCACATACCGGTGGACGAGAACCTGCAGTTCAATCTGAACACTGTTCTGTGCGCACCTACGCGTTCCACGCTGTTTGCGGGAAAATACTTTCACGTGACGCCGGACGTGTTCCCAGCCCGCGAGGAAATCATACGAATGATTGAATCGTCTGGGGGCAAAGTGGAGCCAAAGCGGAGAAGCGGGGCAGCTGTGTCCGAAACACACATTCAGGCGCCCGACTCCTACTTCATAGTGACCTGCCCCACAGACATGCATCTCTGCGCCGATCTCACGCGTCACGGAAACCCAAAGTGCCACATTGTGTCCACGGAGTTCGTCATGAGCTCGATACTCAGGCAGCAGCTGGAGATTGAGCCCAACCTGATACCCTACTTGTATAACAACAACAATGTCAATAGCTGCAACAGTAACAAGTCCTAGCGCCGAGTGTTCTGGTTATTGTAGACCTGAGATGAGGTCTCAGACTTACTGTATAGTCACAAAAGAATTTATGCGACCTGTTATTTAAGTACATAAGAGTATGACAGTTAGAAAATTGAGCCGCTTCAGTTGACCAATGCAAATATTAAAAGCCTACCAACTTCTTATGATGAACCAACACGAAACTAGTCCACAGAATTCGTCAATTCATTAAGGCATGCTAGAACGGTAGAGTTTTTACGGTCTTGGGCACATCAGCATATCGGTCATTAGTAATACGTAATGCATCTTTATTTTAAGGTAATAAGTTTTCGCTTATTTTTATTCGTCTACTCTAGCTCACATTGAATTGTAAATATTTTTAAGAGAATTATCTTCTCTTTTTAATCTGCTAATATCAAACAAATAGATTGTATATTTAAAGAATGGTCGTTCCATATATCTATATATCATTTCGGAACATTTGGCAATATTTGGACGGCCCTTAGATAGCCCATTATTTAACGAAGTACATTTTGAAGAGCTCGACCGATATGTATAGAATTAGAATATATGATTGCATGTAACAAAGAACTACCTTAAATAGTGTTAGGAATAAAGATTCATACAATCATTTTATATATTTTTATAGGTTCAGGAACCTTTAGCTTGAAAAAGTCACACAAATATACACATATATTTCCTAGAGTATACGAAATGTTTCACAGAAATTGATATTGTCGGCTATTAGTATATTAAGTACTTTTCACATAGGTAAAGCCAATATTTTCCGATTTAATATTAATATTAGTTAGTCATTGTACGAAATGTATGAAAAATAAAATAATATTAATTTAAAATTATACTACGTTCAAAATTATTTTCGAATAGAGCTAAAAAGGGTATTTGAAAAATTCTTGATGTAAAGGGTACATTTACAGCAGTGCTGCCATTTTGTCCTCTTTCCGGACAGATCTGTCCTTTTTTTTAACGGCTTTATCCGGAAAAAATTTCAAACATCCCCTATCCGGAAATCTATCCTTTTTTCAAAAAAAAGGTTTTGAGTGTTATTTTTGCTAGTCGAAAGTGTATAAACCTGTTTTTATTTGCTAAAATGCCTTTTTAACCATCATTCTTACAGTTCGGCACTTAAAAATTAATTCTTTTTACAAATTATTATAGAGACGTAAAGCAGTCGATGGATTTTCTTTATAGTACGATTTTTTCTGTAGCAAAAAAAAGAGGAAAGCACTTTAAAAATTTCTTAATTTTTACTCTCTGCTTTGTTGTCAGAAAAAAAATTCAGATTTGAACGACTCTTTTTCGGGTTTGACGCAGATATTTAATTTTGTTGTTACGAATATAGTTACTTGAAATGCATTAATTATTATAATAATTTTAGATTATTACGTATACGCACAAAAATTTACCATGGTAAAATGATCAAACAAAGATGGTTGTGAGTCGGGCGCAGTAGATCATTACATAATTAAATTTTTTTTAAAATCCATTTATATTAAGTAAATATCACTATGGACGGCAGTCCATGTAGTGACGAAGCGCACCAGGAGAGTGTGCGAAGGCGACTACTATATATACACGAAGAAATGAAAATCTACTGTGATGTTCCGATCATAATGAATAATACACCTATCGAAAGGTATTGCGAAAACAAACAGGATTGCATACCAAGACTTTAAGAAAATCAATTGGCTTGGAAGAGAGAGCGGTGAAAGTGAAAAAGTGAAAATTTCGAAATTTGGAGCTGTTGGGGCCGGTGGGGATAAATGCCCCCTTGCAATGTTTTAGTTGTATTCCTTTTGAAAATACCCGTCGAATGAGGGGTCATTTGTCAAAATCCGTCACGCTGCAATAGAAAATGCCTTTAAGGGGAAAAAGGCTGGAATAGTTTGCTAGGGCGGGCCGAATGAGAAAAGATTAGAAAGTCTATTTAATGACGAGTGTAATAATTTTTCGTCACAAATGTTGATATCAGAACTTTTGTATGTTGAAGGTGCGGTCGTCACTAGTTTTTTACCTCGTTAAGAGGTGTTTTTAGTTGATATAACCCATTGGTAAAAACAGAAAAATGTAGGCACATTTACTTTTGTCCTTTTTTTTTGTCCTTTTCTTAAATTTTTTGTCCTTTTTTTCCCTGTTTTTTGTGGCTTATCTGTCCTGTTTTTCAAGCTGAGTGATGGCAGCACTGATTTACAGATGCATTTTTTCATGAATGAAAGTGGATAATAAGGACTCGCTCCATGTTTTTCCCGGTTGGAATTTCCCGTTGGTCAACCGGTTTATACCCTTCCAACACCTTTTCTTTTTTTAGTTAAATATACCCCAAAGTTGCTACAATCAAGCTTAAGATTTTAAAATCTAAGAGTACTCATTAAAACGATATAAACCCCATATGGCGTTCCTCTGGCTTAGCTCTCGTTTGAATATAAAATATTTTGCGTAAGATCTCTTATAGTGTGGGCGCATCTTTAACATGCGATGAAAAGTATAATGTTCTAATTTTTCTCTTTTTAACATAGCACTATGGGTAAAAATCCCAATTTTGGTGCATAAACCTATTTATTTTCATAATTTATTTTTATGAATGGACCATACTAATCGATTCTTGACATCTTCATTTGAAGAAAACCGCCTGCCAAAAGTTGTTATTGGCAAATCTGTAGTTTTGCCACTGCAACAAAGTTGCCTGATAGAGAGACCTAGCAGTGTCGAAAAATTCAGAGAAAAATTAGCTTACTTTGCTTATTAATTGTATGGTGTGAAAGAACACTTTCAAAAATCTGAAAATGGAAATTCCTTGCAAAGGTATTTGTTAATGTAAATTAGCTTGAATGTTTGCTTTTATGTGTCTTGTTGTCCACCCCAGTCGGAAGTGGAACGCATCCAGAAGGGATGATGGATAGCATCCGAAGCACCGATGCATGCATGCCGAATCGATGCACTTCTCACTTCCTTTTTACAGCAAAGCGGGACAAAAAAGATGCATTCCGATTCATCGCTCCTGGAGCCCTCCTGGAGCGCTCCCTTTTCACGCATCGAGCTTGGCTGGAAACTTCGGAAACGCTCGGGATTGGTTTCCATTTTTCCCTTCCAAAAGATGCGATCCAGAACGCATTTTTTGGAATGCTTGTGGATGCGTTCCAAAAGATGCGTTCCGGATCGCATCTTTTGGAGTGCTTCTGGTTGCGTTCAAAAAATGCGTACTGGAACGCATCTTTAATGGTGCTTTTGGTTGCGTTCAAAAAAATGCGTTCTGGAACGCATCTTTTAGAGTGCTTCTGAAAAAAATTATTTCTACTCGATTTAAAAATACGTTTTTTATTAACTTCACTTTTTATTATTTCATTGTTTTTCTTTTCACACATATTAAACTAATTTAAGTTACCACGTCTTCCCCATCATCCTCAATATCGATGTCCAAATCGTTGTCCTTGTCCGGTCCTTTGTCTTTGCTCGTCGTCGCCTTTCTTTTGCTAGCGTCCTTATAGACCCGGTTTTTTTGTCGGGTAAAGGCGGCTCGAATATCCTTTATAAAATCTTCATGCCTATAGCCTTCCCTCTTTTGAGATTCTGCAAAATATAGCGTTTTAAAATGTTGTTAGACGAAATCGCAAAATTAACATCAATAATGATTAACACTTACCGTACATTACTGCGTTCAACGCAGCAAATGTGGAGAACCCTTCCTTTTGTCTACAGCCCGCATAATTCATCTGAGGTTTTTGAAAAGCGAGTCCCCAATATAGGCTTTAAACATCGAAATCTGAAAAAAAAATACGCACGTTTTAAAATTAGAGTTAAATAAAAAAAGGATGATATTTAAGGTAACGAATATACTTACATATTTTGGCTCGTTTCCCAGTATAGCAGACTCTACCTCTTTCAAGTCAGCGAGAGATTTGATGGGGAACTGAGTCCTAAGACTCGAGCTCCCCTCTCCACTGACTTTCCGGAGCAGCGCCAATATTTGGTGCTGCGTTTTGGCCATTTCACCAACCATGGCTGTCACCGCCTGCTTGTCGGCTTCCATTTTTGCCAACACCTCCCCCTTCAGGGCCAACACCTCCCCCTTCAGGGCCAAGATCTCCCCCTTCAGGGCCGACAACTCCCCTTCCACGTTGACCTCCTTTTCGTTCTCCACCGCAGAAGAGCAGGTTGGTCCTGCCAGGGGGAGGGTCGGGAATGAAAATTTCGGGTACGATTCCATTTTCCTCAAAACGAAAAAAAAAAGTTAGTACGTTTTTATAATTTTCTAAAGGGGGCATCTAAGTAAAATAAATAATAATTTTTTAGTTCAATAAACTGGTAGGATAACTCTTAAAGAATATGTCATAAAAATTATAATTAAACTGCTGTTTATACAAAATACTTTAAAATTAAACAAGTAATTTTTATGACATATTCTTTAAGAGTTATCCTACCAGTTTATTGAACTAAAAAATTATTATTTATTTTACTTAGATGCCCCCTCTTAAGCCAAAACTTTCTACAAAAACTTTATACAAAACATTACTTTAGTACGAAAACAGAACATTATACACACCTTGAATGCTAGACATAGCCTCCGAAAGAACATAGTGGACTTGAGTTTGTTTTATTAAATGTTAAGTTTGGATTTTATTAAGATATCAAAAAAGGATCTCAAGCCGTAGCTTTTCGCGCGCGAATCCCAGGCGATCAAGCCCACCTCCCGCCCAACCGACCGAGAGGCGCAGTCGTATAACGCACGACACGTAGTAGCGAAAAAAAAAAATTATAAAAATTGTATAAGTTATACTACTTTACAAACCATTTTAAATTGTTCAATACTTTACTACTTTAATTAACTGTGTGTAACAAGGGAGTCAAAACTATTTTATTAGACAAATAAGGAGTGTAAACGTATTTAAATAAAATTTCATTAACTGAAAATGTTTCTGCCTCACTGTTCCAATTGCTATCAGTGAGAACAATTCCTAAGGATAAACTAGATACAGGTGATTCAAAAAAACTGTTAACATTTGAAAATCTGTGTCCCTCAATAAAACAATTATTATCTTTATGAAAAAATCTGGATATTCTAAATGGTATATTCGGCCTTACACTACATATATTATTTGGCATTTTTGTGGACAACATATAGCTACTAAAATTATACTTTATTATGTTTCCATGTCTGTCGGTTTTTTCCCCAATAAATTTATCTTCCACTGTCTTATATACTGACATTTTCTTTTCTACCTGTTCTAAAATTTTATTTGGTTTTTTCACACTACGCTTAACTTGCTGCAAAAAATTTTCAAAACGATATGCTGTAAATGTATTAATGTGCCCAAGTTCTCGAACGCAATCTACTAAGTGGAGCATATTGTGAACATTATAAGTTAAAGCTTATTTCGGATAAACAGTAGTAAAGGTGCTGACAAAAAAATTGATTAACTCGCTTGCAGTGTCGAGCAGTAAAATATAATTTGGACTCAATAATGCCCTGTAAGCACACATTAAAAGAAGAAAGTGATAATAACAGTCATCTGAAACTTTGTCCCTCAACAAAACTTGACCTATATATATAAGAAATTGCCTATGCTCAACTGCTTTCCACCGTGCCAACTCGTCTAGGGATCTGGGTTTTCTTGCAAACTCAGAGGGCCAATAAGATTTTAAATTTAAAAGTTCTTCTGAAATGTTACATATATCAATTTTTTTTAATTTGAAATTACAAGTTTTTTTTTCAACAATTAAATTTATAATTTTTCTAGCAACTCCCAAGTCAATTAAGTGCATTGGGTCAAGTGGAAAG